AAAAAAAAAAAAAAAAAAAAAAATATATATATATATATATATATACATACAGTGCCTATAAAAAGTACCCCTTCATTTTTTCACGTTTTGTTATGTTGCAGCCTTATGTTAAACTGCTTGTTATTAATTTTTTCCCACATCAATCTACACTCCATACACCATAATGACAAAGCAAACACAGAATTGTCACATCTTCGTAAATTTATTACAAATAAAAAAAACTGAAATAAGCACATTGGACAAGTATTCATACCCTCAACTCAGTACTTAGCTGAAGCACCTTTACAGCCTCAAGTCTTTTTGGGCATGATACAACAAGCTTTGCACATCAACATTTGGCAATTATCTGCCATTCTTCTCCTCACCTCTTCACCTCCTTTAAGCTCTGTCAGGTCGGATGGGGGCAGATGCACATTTTCAGGTTTCTCCAGAAATATTTGATTGGGTTTAATCCCAGGCTGTGGCTGGGCCACTCAAGGACATTTACAGAGTTGTCTATAAGCCACTCTTGCTGTGTGCTTAGGGTCATTGTCCTGTTGGAAGGTGAACCTTCTGACCAGTCTGAGGTTCTGAATGCCATGAAGCCCAGATCGGTGGAGTGTTGCAGTGATGTTTGTCCTTCTGTAGGTTTCTGCTATCTCCACATATGATCATGGAGCTCAACTAGAGTGACCATCAGGTTCTTGGTCACAACTCTAACCAAAGCCCTTCTCCATCAATTGCTCAGTTTGGCCAGGAGGCCAGCTCTAGGAAGAGTCCTGGTTGTTTCAAACTTCTTCCATTAAGGTTAACAGAGACTACATGCGTCTGTGAACCTTCAATGCAGCAGAATTTTTTCTGAACTCTTCCCCAGATGTGTGGCTTGACACAATCCTGTTTCTGAGCTCTACTGGCAGTTTTTTTTTTATTTTACCTCAGGGCTTGGTTTTTGCTCTCATATGCATTTTCAGCTGTTAGACCTTTTATTACAATCATTTAAGTTTTTTATTTTTAATAAATTTGCAAAGATGTTAAATACCTGTTTTTTGCTTTGCCATTATGGTGCATGGAGTGTAGATTGATGTGGGAAAAAAAAAGTAATTTAAAGCAGTTTAACATAAGGCAGCAACATAACAAAAGGTGAAAAAATGAAGGGGTATGAATACTTTTTATAGGCAGTGTAAAATCCATGTTGGGGTAAATCTTGCCAAGTTTTATGCTGCTGTCAGTCTGATCTAAAAAGCCATTAACTGAGTCTTGCTTTTATCTCTGCAGATGGGAGTTTATGATGAGGCGCTGAGCAGCTTCTTTAGAAATGTTGACCAAAGGTAGCCTCTCTTTATTCTCCTTATACTCCCTTCTACTCCGTTAATGTTACTTTGTTTGTGCATAAGTCCTCACCTCCTTGCTGATCCACTTGATTTATTGTGGGATCTTATGTGTGTATTTGTGTGTGTGGTGTATTTGTAGAGGAGCAGACTCTACAGGAGGCAAGATCAACGCTCTAAAGGCCAGGGTGAGCACCATGTTAGGTGATGTGTTGAAGATGGGGCGTGGAGACCCATTAGATTTTGGCTGCTACCGTTTGTGTGTGTGTGTGTGTGTGTATGTGGTCCTGGTAAACCCTACGTTATGGGGACAAAATGTCCCCACAAAGATGGCAATATCCAAAATCCTTATCCTTGTGGTCAAGGATTTTTTTGGTCCCCATGAGGAAACAAGCTTATACAAAAAAAAAAATATATACAAAATGAAGTTTTTTGAAACTAAAAATGTAAGGGGTTTAGGCGTAGGGCCATAGAAAATATAGTTTGTACAGTATAAAAACCATTACGCATATGGAATGTCCCCATAAAACATGGAAACTCAACGTGTGTGTGTGTGTGTGTGTGTGTGAGTTTGAGATATGTGCGGTTTGGCCTGTAGAGCCTATAGAATGTAACTCATGGGGAAATACATTTACAGACCAACAATTAAAAAATAGTACAACCCTCCCAAGTACTCAGTTGATTAATATATCCAGTACTTGAGTAGATAAAATGACCATTCCTAATAAAAACAGATGTCAATGGTAAGTCCCCAACATAACAGAAAATCAGTTGTATCTGTGTGTGTGTCTGCAGGCCGTGTTAGTGGACATGGAGGAGGGAGTCCTAGGAGAGATTCTGCAGGGGCCGTTACATTCTCTCTTCAGCAGCACACAACTCATAAGTGATGTCTCTGGTTCTGGGAACAACTGGTAAGAGTCTGTCTTGGCAGGGACTCTGTCACACAGCTTCTAAATGCATACTCTGTTCAGTGTGTGAATGTGCAATGATTGCTTTTAAAACAGATACAGTCCTACTTAGGGCTGCACGATATATCGAAATGATCGAAATATCGCAAATGCAAATATCGCAATATGCATGACCCCTTTAATCAAACAACAAAACAGCTATAACAAAGATTAATCTAAATTTAATTCATACAGTGAACACTATGCAGTGTTATTTTACGCTTAATTATTAAATGTCTGTACCTGAATACTACTGTTTATATTATCTATGCTTGTAAATTTTGTATTTGTTCTTTTTTCTTTTTCTTTCTTTTTTTTTACTGACTGTTCACTTGCCTTTAATCATGTTTGAACTTTCTCAGACTATAGTTTTTGCTGTGGTATACGCATATCGAATATCGCATTTTTTAACAAGGTATCGCATATCGCATTTTTCTTCAATATCGCACAGCCCTAGTCCTACTAGTGATGGACGATATGATGTTATATACTTTGCAAAGACAGAAATTTGTCAACAGGTAGAGATTATTTTATACCTTTATTACCACAGTACATCAGATGCATACTTTTTAAAAGTCCAATGCCAAGAACAAAACTTGGGCATGTAAAAAAAATCACAGCATGAATATAGTCTTTGGTTCCAATGTGGCATAAAAAATATAAATTATGTACGCTCTTCTGTGTCAGCCGCGCCACAAGGATAGCAGATTTGTCTCATTTTAAATGAATAATAAAAACTGAGATAAAAAATGTACTTAAGCCAGAATTTAAATGTTACTATGGTAAAATAAATATTCAAACCACGTGTGTTACAGCTAACACCCCGTTACTTTGTGCATCGCACTCATCGCAAGTTTATTGTTAAATTGTTAAACGCCCTTACATATCTCTGTCACAATTATAAGTGTTTGATCACAACATTTGAGTGATCATTGCAAAAAATGTGTTTATGTATATATATTCTGTTTATGTCTATACTGTATTCTATATATAGTACCAGTCAAATGTTTGGACACCCGAATGGGAAAGTGTCCAAACTTTTGACTGGTACTGTACTATAATATACACAAAGAATATCGGCCGATATATCGGTATCGGCCTTTTTTTTTTTAACTCCCTAATATCGGTATCAGTATCGGCCCCAAAAAACCCATATCGGTCGGGCTCTAGTATTTACGCTTTGATTTGAAAGAAAACAGCGCATCCGTGTGGCGCGGCTGACACAGAAGAGCGTTCGCTGCCTGCGTTCGGCTCATATTCTCCAAAATGGTGTTACGGTGACGCGGAGAGACACAGAGGAGACGAATTGTTGAATAAAGTCGTTATTTTTGTTTTCTTCGCGTACAAAAAGTATTCTCGTCGCTTCATAACGTTACGGTTGAACCACTGATGGCAGATGGACTATTCTGACAATGCTTTTCATACTTTTCTGGACCTTGACAGTGTAATTTACTTGGCAGTCTATGGGACAGTCACAAGCCTCCCGGTTTTCGTCCAAAATATCTTAAATTGTGTTCCGAAGACAAACAAAGCTTTTACGGGTTTGGAACGACATGGGGGTAAGTGATTAATGACAAAAGTTTAATTTTGGGGTGGAGTAACCCTTTAAGCCTGTACAAAACCAGGATGTGGACTTCATCTCAAGTCAAAGTCCATATTTTCTGTGAATAGTCAAGACCAGCTCATTCGAGTCTGAGTCCTGGCTGAGTACAAATGCTCTTGAAAATGTGATCTTGCCCCAAGTCGTTTGCAGTGCAGACATATTCTTCATGTACTCTGCCATACACACTGTGTTCTTAGTTGCGAAAGGCACAACATGCCAACCCAGTGGCTAAAGCCTAAAGTATACTTCATTTTTTTTTTTTTTTACACATATGCTAGGGTATGCATACATTGTGTGTGACATAAGTTTTTAAGCGAGTAACCATGAAAACAACAGCTTTCACAATAATTGTTTAATTAAAGGCCTTCATCTGAATTGAAATAAATTACTTTTTTGAAAGAAAATAATACTTTTATTCACCAAGGATGCATTAAATTGATCAAAAGTGTCAGTAAAGACATTTATTATGTTACAAAAGATATCTATTTCAAATAAATGCTGTTCTTTTGAAATTTCTATTCATTAAAGATACATGGGGGAAAAATGCATCATGGTTTCCACCAGAATATTAAACGAAACTATTTTCAACACTGATAATGATATTTTTTTAGCAGCAAATCAGCATATTAGAATGATTTCTGATGGATCGTGTGACAATAATTTATATTTTGAATAAATTACATTTGTTGAATAAATTCAAATAGAAAACAGTTAGTAATATTGTAGTAATATTTCATAACTATTTGACTGTATTTTTGATCAAATAAATGCAGCTTAATATTAGGGCTGTCACGATTATGAAATTTGGCTGACGATCAATTGTCTAAAAATAGTCACGGTTATTGCGATTAATTGTCTGTTTTTATGGCTTTCATTATATAATTGATTAATTTAAGGGTTCAGTAAATAATTATGATGTTATCATTTAATCTTTTTGAGTTATTATTTTGCAGTGTAAGATTACATAGAGTATTCCAAATTCTAAGAATTGGCCAATCCAACACCAGCGCTACTTTTTTTCTACACCACTACAGAATATCATTACTGTGTTTGTGGAACTAATGGTCACTCTTTTAAACCCTTTGTTAAACGCAATCCACTAAATACTCACTTCCTCATTAAAACTGGTAATGTATATCGAAATATCGGAAATGTGTTTAAAAATCATATCACCGTTATTGAAAAAAAATATATCGCGATACATATTGATATTGAATTATTGTCCAGCCCTAGTGTATGTATATATATATATATATATATATATGAATGTGTGTGTGGTTGTACATACACATGTAGTTGTTTTTTTGGTGTTTGGCTTAGTGTTATGTTAGAATCATTATTATACTCTTATACCTTTTGTTCTGTACTATTTTGAATTGTTTTTAGCTTTATTTTTAGTTTTTCATTTAAATGTTAAGTTTTGAAATGTTGTTGTATGCTGTTGTCTTTTTTTATTTAATCTCTTTACTTTTAAAATGTGTATAGGTAGTATTTATAAAGTTTTAGGTTTTAGTTTTGGATCTGTTTTTAGTTGTTTTAATACTACAATTGATTGCTTCTGTTGTCCTCATTTGTAAGTCGCTTTGGATAAAAGCGTCTGATAAATGACTAAATAAATAAATAAATAAAATAAGTTTCAGCATCAGCACAGTACGTGCACACTGTTCATGCACAGCATGATTTTTCAAAACCAGCTTGCACATGTGCCTTAATTTATCTTGAACTAATTAGTTTGGCCCACAAGATGGCAACATTGTCCCAGGCCATTGTTTTTCAGTCAAAAAAGAAATGGAACAGATGGAACAACAACAAAAACACTCACTTACATCATTAACACGTCCCTTCACACTGATGTCTTTCACTCAGCATTTAAACAGGCTCGGGTAACCCCACTACATAGGAAATCCACTCTTTACCCAGCACTTTTAGAAAACTACAGACTGGTATCCCTTCTTGTGAGAAAGAATTGTGTTCAACCAAGTCTCTGCCTTTCTCACACATAAAAACCTGCTAGACAGCAACCAGTCTGGCTTCAGAAGTGGATATTCAACCAAGACTGCCCTTCTTTCAGTTGTTGAAGCCCTAAGACTGGCAAGAGCACCAGTTCCTCCTGTCAACCCTCATGGCAAAGGACATTTCAGGAACCGCACTCTAGTGGTTCGAGTCTTACCTCTCAGATAGGTCCTTCAAAGTATCTTGGAGGGGTGAGGTGTCCAAGTCGCAACATCTAAGTACTGGGGTGCCTCAGGGCTCAGTTCTTGGACCACTTTTCTTCTCTATCTACATGGCATCACTACGTTCTGTCATTCAGAAACATGACTTTTCATATCACTGCTATACTGATGACACTCAACTCGACAGTGACAAGACAGGGCACAGATAATAAAAAGAATAATATAAAAATATACAAAACAGACAATGTACAAAAAATCAAAAACACAATATATAATATAGACAATTTTGAATGTACAGGTATGATATGTGCAAATTTGAAATGTAAATAAGTATGTGTGTTAAATAAATAATGTATACTAGTGTTGTTTGTTCCACGATTATTGTTAAGTGATCATGAGATGGATTGCCTGAGGAAAGAAACTGTTTCTGTGTCTGGTCGTTCTGGTGCTCAGTTGAGGTCAGATTTGGTAGCTGAGCTGAACCAGACAGTTATAGAAGTGCAGAGGACGGATTCAATGATGGCGGTGTAGAACTGTTTCAGCAGCTCTTGTGGCAGGTTGAGCTTCCTCAGCAGGCGAAAGAAAGTACAAACTCTGCTGGGCCTTTTTGACAATGGACTCAATGTGATTGTCCCACTTCAGGTCCTGAGAGGTAGTGGTGCCCAGGAACCTGAATGTCTCCACTGTCGTTACAGTGCTGTTCATGATGGTGAGTGGAGGGATGAGCAGGGGGGTTCCTCCTGAAGTCCATTATCATCTCCACAGTTTTGAACGTGTTAAGCTCCAGGTTAAGACAATTCCTCTTTGCCACTCTGATCTCCTTTTCCAGTGTGTATTTGGCATGTTTATACAAGAATCTGTACCCATTCCTTTAACTAAACAGTGATCAGAGAGCCCCAAAGCTGCCCGTGGGATGGAGCGATATGCATCCTTTATTGTGGTGTAACAGTGATCCAATATATTACCGTCTCTGGTGGGACATTTAACATGCTGTCTGTATTTTGGCAGTTCACGGGAAAGATTTGCTTTATTAAAGTCCCCAAGAATGATTATAACAGAGTCTGGGTCTTGTTGTTCTGTGTCTGTGATCTGATCAGTGAGTTTATGTAAAACTGAGCTCACGTGCGCTTGCAGAGGAATGTAAACACTCACGAGAATGAATGAGCAAAACTCCCGTGGCGAATAGAACGGCTTGCAGTTAACGAAGAGCACTTCTAGATCAGGACAACACATCTTCTTTAACGCTGTAACATCTGTACACCACCTTTCGTTGATGTAAAAACATGTCCCGCCGCCGCGCGATTTCCCC